AATTGCTTAAATTGGAAAATTAACTGTGATGATCATTCTTCACTGTCATCTACAACCACAGTTCATATATGAATTATTTCATGTAAACTTCACATCAAAGTTTACTAAAAGAGGACGACTATGATTTGGGATGATAATTTGAGAGAAAGGTTAGACATAGACCTTTCAATGTGTGCCATCAGTGGAACAGCTTGTTAGACTACTTTTAGAACTGTTAATCAGATATCTTTGTTTGTCTGTTCATCACATACACAGGGTGGAAATCTTTGACGACTTACCCGATGTTGATGCAGTGTTTGTGTCTGTTGGAGGAGGGGGGTTAATAGGAGGAATTGCAGCCTACCTGAAGTCTGTTAAACCTTCAGTTAAGGTACAGTTAACAGAATATGAACTGTACTTTGCAGTCAAGAAACAAACACAGTGGTACCTTTACTAACAGGCAACCATCTTTGTTGATTCACAGTTCTATTCTTATGTGATTACCGAAATCCCTATTATTATATGGTGGCCATCTTGAACCCTCTACAAAAGCCAGTTGTGTTACTGCAAGGACACTTGGGGCATGAACACTTATTAACACAGTTTTTGCATGTTTTATCTCTATGACTATCCAATGAGAGATAAACAAAAGGTTTTAGTCCTTTTACCATGTTGAAGGGGTATATTTTCGTTTCATGTTAAAAGCCCTCATTGTATAGTGATCAAACAAATGCACAAAAATGTCAATGTTTATGGTTTGAATGACCTTTGACCATCAACTATGTGCTGAAAAAATTTTTGATTATGCTGTAGATGATTGGATGCCAGCCCTCGCAGTCTGCAGTGATGGCAGAATCAGTGAAGGCAGGAAAAATTTTGGATCTCCCTTCAGGCGTCACACTGTCTGATGGCACAGCTGGCGGCATTGAGGAAAATGCAGTAGGAACTGAACTTATTAATGCAACAGAACAATGACAGAAGAGGTCAAATATTTTATTTCAATAGCCTCATGTGGGTAGAAAGAACATGGAAGGACAGAACAGAACATATATTCTAAACTCTGCAAACAGACTTCCAGCAGGCGTGCATCTGAACCATTTAAGGAAACACTTCTGCTAAGTGAACTCAGTTACTTCTTTTCCTTGCCCGAAGGGTGTCAATGGAATAATAGACCATATTTCAATCTAGTTTGACATATTTCATGATAGTTTGCATTGTGATTTTCCTTATTAGGTTACCTTTGATCTTTGTAAATGTCTTGTTGATGAGTGGATTCTTGTGTCAGAGGAGGAAATAAGCAAAGCAGTGTATCAATTTATGGAAAATCATCATAAAGTAAGTCATAACTGCTGCTGTGATTGATGCCATTTACTATAGCAGCTAATGGGAACAACTAGGTTCTTCAGAGGATTCAATCTTCCATCAGTCTTTTTAAGAAGGCTCATGACTAAGCATAACTTGATGTAATATTATTACGTGGTCAGCTGATGAGAACTTATTGTGTACTTGCTAATGCTTATGTCATTTCTGATTTGGTTTGAGAATAAAATTATGATGGTAGAAGCAGCTTTTGTCTCCAAAATCCATGAATCCTATGTATTGATGATTTTATTACTTACATGTAATTAAAATGAAATCAGACACAATAGAATGCAAAACAATGTGCATGTTGAGGTTGACGCTGTGTTATTTCAGTTGGGCAGAGTTAAGTTAATTCCCCAGAAATAAAACTGCACATAGATTTTTGTTCAAACTTTGTCCAATGAATATTTATCATATGAGAACTTTAATTATAAAATAAAAAAGGGGGCTGCCCATGCTCATTAAGGAGCAGTGAGGCATTGAAAATGTCCAATTTTAGCATTATTTAATGCTTATTACAAGAATGCATTCCAAGTTATTGTAAACTCTTTGTGAGCCCAGACTCATGAAAACACGCCTCAAACTACTAATAAACTTTTGAAGTTTGATTTTGACAGACAGCTGAATCCTTGTTAAAATATTGGAACAAAATTGCTTGCCAAATAGAAAAGACCACAATGCAGCTGCTGTTTTCCTTATTTATTCAATTTTCAACAATAGAAATCAGATCAGTCTTTTCTCACACAAAGCTAATGATTAGTTGATTAAAATGACTGGAAAAAAATTTGGGGTGCCCAAGCTCATTAGTGAGCTATAGCCATTTTTCAACTGACAGAACTCAATATCAAGGCTAATCCACCATGTTTTCAATGTGCGTTTGTATGAGCGTGCTAATGACGCCATAAATTATGCACAATGCAATACTGGGGAATGACCTTAAATCCTTTTTTAGAGAGTTGTTAACTAGAGTATAAAATGTGCACATTCTGGACGTGGACAGACTTGCTTTAGCGATATTTCTTTCCTTCCTGAACTCATCATGCTTCTTTTAAAACATTGGGTTTGTAGTTTAATGTTTTGGGTAAAGGTAATGAATCCGATCACACTGAGATGTCGGCCAATGCGTCGGTCGACACACTATCAACACACCACCAACACACCAACACGTCAGCCAACAAGCTACCAAAGCATTGGCAGACACGTTACGGACGCGTTGGCAGACACACTACTGATGCGTCAGCCAACACACTACTGACGCATTGGCCAACACATTACTGACGCGTTGGCAGACACAATACTGAATGCATTGGCCGACACACTACCGACACATCAGCTGACACACTACCGATGCATCGGCTGGCACGAGACCAAAATGTTTTGTGTGGTGTCATTATAAACACAAATTTACATTGTTTGCAGAAAAAGAAGCAAATCCAGTTCTAACTCCGATTGAGATTTCAATGATGCAGATATTCTTAGATTGGGAGTTGTGTTTTTTATTTGAAAATATTGGCAAATTTACCTAGGAAGAAGTATTATACAACTAGGCAAGAGAGATAATGATATATTACACATTGTCTTAGGTAAATACGCTATTAATAATTTTTTTAAAATTCACCAAGTAGTTCAATATGCCTTCTCAGGTGCATTATCATCTGAGAAGTATAGTATGGTAAAAAGGATTAACTAGTTCTCTAAATGACTGACTGACTAA